GCAGGGGGAACGGTCGTGGCCTATATAACCCACCCATCGGCTGTCGAGGGGGTATACGGCTACGGGAAGCAGCAAAACGCGTGACTGGGTGGAAAGACAGTCAGAAGGCACCGTCGTGGCTCACCCGTGGCTGACCCGTCCCATCGAGCCGGAGTGAGTTTTTATTTCCTTCCCTCACCCGATACAGATTCCCTCTCCGCGTCCTCTCGTCTGTTCGCATCTGAGTAGTCGGGATGATTTTTGGGATCTCGTCAACTTTGGAGGATAGCGGCAGAATTTGTTTCTCATCTCGAAGCTCTGGTAGACGTTAGATTCATAATGTATCGATGGCAAGACTGCAATCGACGATAGAACGGGCAGGCTTATATAAGTGAGGGTCACACGATGGATGGGGAAAGGTCGGACAACAGTCATTGGCTTCACTCGACACCGACCCGACGGGAGAGTCGTTTCAATGTTCAGGCTTCGAAACCGGGGACCGAGGTTCCCCGATTGGATGTCGGACGAGGCCGCCTGCCTCGAGCTGTGTAAACAATGTCCGTTTTTGTTCTCGGATTGCACTTGTTTCGATGATCCCGAAACGACCCCAGTCTCCAGAACGACAACGGAGTTCCTGGCTTTTCACCCTCTGCCAAGCAACAGGATCATTCGGGATGTTTGACGAGTGGCTCGACCCACGTCGTACGGAGTGTCGTCTGGAAACGCATGTTCGCCGGGAGACTTTGCACTGTGCAGGAAATGAGACTACATTTTCGATGAGTTGCTGGCCTCCACGTAGGCACTATCGTCTGGCTCTTAGGTACGAGGCGCTGCCAGTGTTGCGACAAGGACAGTGTACAGTTCGAGCATCTGCTCGAGCGACGAGAGTACCGGTCGAGCGAGTTATGAAATAACCTGTATAAGTAAGGCTGAGGAACTGAATTTGACTTTTTTTTTTAATAGGGGTATTGATCTCCCGGGGAAAAGTTTTCTCATCCCAATCCACCATGTTTCCCTCAACTCACGTGAGTTCTGATTCACTTCTTTCTTCATTTCACAGATTTCTGGAATGTAGTGACTTTATGCAATCGAATTGAGGTCTGCGCCTTTTCTTAACTTTAATGTAATCTAAGGGGCTTCTACGAGTATAATATAATCTAGTCTAGTCATCCCCCGATGTCATGCTGCTGGTGACTGCCATGAAAAAATTACTTTTGAAGAATCTGTTGCCTGCATATCTAGAATTATCGTTACGGCTAACTCAACTTTTGTGTTATCCTATCCAATTAACACTGAGATTTCTTGAAAGTACTTGATATAAAATAACATCGAGTTTTTTGCACCAAGCATCAATTCTCGAATTCAGGGCTGCTGCTGTCACCTGGCTGCCAGGATTTATAATTGGTGTATCATGGCTAGAACTGAAGCTTGTCACACGGGATACTTAGCTCGTATGTCAGCCTCCGTTTCCGGGGCATTCCAAGCGTCCCATACATCTCTCTCTGATACAGCAAACGAAATCCACTCCATCTCACTACAGGTTCTCTACGGACTGACGGCTATGATGTTCTTAGCCGGCTCCGTGTTCGCCGTCCCGGTGCCGTTGCTGAACGTGGTCCAAGCGAGTCACCCTCCCGTTCAAGGCGTTCACGTTGGACAGAACACGTTGATCCCGTCCCGCGTCTCCATCCACGTCCCGCCTCCCATCGGTCGACACCCGGAGATCGATCGAGCCATTTCGGTCATCTATGGCGATCCGGCTGCTAGCATGATTCTTTCGGACCACTTTGGAGGCAGAAAGTATGCTGCGTTAATTCTGAACGGGACGATCCCATTCCAACCTATCAACATAGGCCCGTTAAAATTCGTCGGTCCGAATCGGGTAAGAACACGACTAGAATCGGTCGTGTCACGACAACGTATCTTTCACTCGGTCCACATTTAACGTTCGAATTCCGATCGTTTTGGCCTTCAACGTCAACAAGTCAGAGCGTGAAATTTCACTTTTTGTTCTACAACCTGGTTCTGTCATTTCCCTGTCGCAGGGACGGTGAACGCAAGACGAATGAGACGAATTACATGAATTTACGGGTCCAGTTATCCCTTATAGTCGCCCTCTTGCAAGTGGAATTTCCATCTTGGCAAATTTTGACGACATCGCATCGATCCTGTTGAGTGTCTCATTACGAAATTTATCTCTGTATACGCACTATTTTTCCATTTGACTCTGACAGATTTCAAGAAATACAGCAAGAATAAAGCTACCTTTTAACGACGTCAAAGCTTCTGCACTTCACGTGCTCGGGAGACAAGCTTTATGCAAAATGAAGTATTTTCAATAGTCAACATCCAGTGCATTGCACAAAGATGGACGTATTTCATGTTAAACTCTTGAATCTAATTTCAGGGAGTAATCGTGAGGAATGTTGGTCGTGACGCATGTTACACAAAGTTGAACGGCCGAAGATAAGATACACTTATACTTGTGCAATACGTTTGTGCAGAGTCGATTACAAATTTAGCATTGCTTATCCAAGGATGGGCAATGCTATGTATATATATGTTGATTGGCACCGATGACAGGATTGGAAATTGAGAAATTTTGTCTTCATTTGTGTGGAATGACTCCATAGACTCATAGCCCTCGGTTGTATCAGCGAGCGGCATCTTGGTCTCCTCCCCGCGCTCCGCAAGGAACACGAGAGGCGCCTTCCCCCCCACCCCCACGTCTTCTCGGAAAATAGCAGACAAGCAGAGGTGAATGCCCCTCCCCTTGGGCAACGATCCACTATGTATTTGAGAGTGATTGTATTCAGAAGGTGGAATAGGAGTGCAAGTCGAAACTTCGGTTGTACAGTATATGTGAAACTTTTCACCCACTCGCATACTCTTTCATGATATCTTGCTTCTTTTCGGGGGGAGTCCAGACACCCAGGACACCCCCTCCCCCCCCTCCCTCCCTGGCTACGTCCCTGGTCACTGTATTCACACTTGATGCCCTTTTGCCTTTAGAACTAATACTTGATACAGCCGAAGTTTGATATAACTTACTCGAAGGGGCAGGCTAAACAATTTCGTTATAAGGAAAATTCGCCATGAGGAATTCACTACTTTTCACTTGAAAAAAAGCCTCTTAATGCGTATATAGTAAAAAAAAAATAATGCAATTGTCCATTCAAAAATGCGAAGGTCTAAGCGCGCGTTACATTGCAAGAATATAGCTCCTAAGATGAGTGCAAATACCTAAATGGGCGTGTAGAGCAGTGTGTCCTTATGAGAGCATAATAAATATTGGATAAGTCAAGGGGTGGCAAATGCCCCCTCACTTTTCCAGATGGGATATCATTTTTCCCCCCTCCCACTTGGAGACTACGTACACTGGCAAGTTGCGACTTACGATCCTTCGTGCATTCAGTGGTTTTGGAAAGTAAATTTATCTTAAAGCAAGGTTAATGCCTGAGGGGGATTAGCGTGGTAGGACACACTTGATAGGCGCCCAGTGGGAGTTCTTTTTGTCTCGGGTCCAAGATTTCCCATCCAATTAGACTTCTCCTCCCTTCTCTAAAATCTTTCCTGGAAAAGAAGAAGCTCTGGAGTCTGTCCCCTTCAGGCATAAGTCTGGCTTAAAACATTTTAATGGTAGAACAGAGGTTCAGTGCCATGTCACGGAAGGGAAGTGCTCAAACTGGAACGCTTTTTGATTTCATTGCGAAACCAAAGACATCAAAATATAAAGAAATTTCAGGAATGGAAAACTTCAACGGTGTCTTATTATCGGTTGTCCCTACGAACAAGATTGCACGGGAACCTGTGCCTGTTAGTGAAAGTGACCCTTTTTTGCCGCAAAAATATGATTTCCCTAGAAAAGGAGCCAAGGCATTCAATGCAAAGTACTTTGATATATGACCATACATGCCCGAGAAAGACATGGTTTAGTGCTACGTATGTTGTGGTTGCATCAGCAGAGTGTCTTTTTCGGCATTGAGGCGGCTCAAGAATTGGATACAGACGACGATAACACAACGCCTGACAAACGACGCATCGATGCGTGCACATCAAGATGTTTTGGAAACCTTGGAACTAGAGAAATTGATTAAATATTTCGGAAAGAAAACCGAGGAAAGGAGAATATTTGAATTTTTGTTTCACATGAAAATTTGATATCCTGATAATGTGTTTGAATTAATTTTTCGAATTTCAGATCTGATCTATCTCGTTTGCCCCCTCCCCCCAATTTCGAGGACATTCCTATGCCTGGGACAGCCCTAGGGTCGACCGGGTTGCTCGGAGGCGCCTCTCACAGCAGGAGGGAGGCGTAAGTCACTTTCGACTTATCCCAGGACCGTCCTGGGATAGCATCGCAGTCGAAACAAGGCTAATTACCACGCCAATGGAGGTGCCAGGAATAGGGAAAACGCCCACTTTTTTTTACTGATGGGTCAGATAGAGATGATCCTAAAATGACTGGAGTCGCAAGGGGGTCGACGGCGTCGTCGTCCCCCCCCCCCCGGCTGAAAGGGAACATCATATAAATAGGACCGAAGGAGTCAACTTACTATCAGTCTCGTCTGATGCAGAGGTCGTGAGCTCATCAAGTGGACCAGGAATAGTCTAATCCGTCTAATCTTCAACCGTCATGTCAACTTCAATACGTGTGAGTTCTCGTTCTTTCCCCGTTCTCCTTTCTCTCCCCTAGAATGTATCTTGGAATTTTTTACATTTCTAAACTACTCTTTGACATTCGAAGTAACCATGAGAAAGGAGGAGGGCCTTCCCATTTCTTGCTGAACTTTAGGCAGTTTCCAGGGCCGCCCAGAGGGGAGGGGGGGGGGGGGCAATCTGCCCCGGGCCCTGGAAACCTCTGAGCGGCCTTGGCAGTTTCAATTAGGAACCCTGTCATACCTCATACCTGTCATACCATTCCAAAGAATCGCTTCAAAAATAGTTCAATTCCAGTTCAGTTGCAGGTGACAGGTTGTGACAGTCTATATCAACACGATGACAGTCGTGATGACACGATGATGACTCGTGATGACACACGATGACAGCACGATGGAACTCCAGTAGTGTTTTGCTAAGTTTCATTACCCCTTTCGGTTTCAGAGAGTCCCGTTGGATATTTACATTTTTTTTAGTTTTGTAGCCAGGGATAGAGTACACGTTTGCAACATGGTTTCAGTGTTCGCTGAAACTCTATTGGAATTAAGCCATTCTTTCCTCGGATCTTTCGCAATAACTTTTCCGTCTTTTTCTCCACAGGTTTTCTACGGTCTGATTGTCCTGATGTCCATGATGGCCAGCAGCACCTTCGCCGCACCAGTGCCGTTCTTTGGCATCCACGTGGGGAAAACGCATTACCCTCCCGTGTACGACGTGTCACCGTACGTGTACCTGGGGTCAGTCCAGCCCAACCCAGTCTCCGCCTCGGCTTTTGTCACTCCCGAAGAAGTCTATCCGAGTCCTCCAGGTGGTGCCTTCCTCGAGGCACACATTGTGAAAACCCCTGCAGTGTCTTATGTACCGGCGCCAGTATTGTATTAAACACTAATCGGCCCCTGTTATTAATGACCTTTACATCAACACTTTTCATATTGGAATTCAAATAGCTGAAAAAATCTTGAAATAAAGTCTTTGGGGTAGTAGATGTCCATCGTACTGAGCTTGTCTTTTCATTTATTAATTCAAAGACAATTTACAATTACTTACTGTATTTTATTGTACTATATTTTTAAGAGCAGAATAAAGCGGAAACATCATGCTATATTTTCTTCGGGCGAGGCGATGGAATGAGTAGCTGGGAATGGAGCAAGGGACTTCAGAGGATAAAAGCATAGTTGATACACACGCAGAACAACCCCATCACGCACACTCAGCTGAATTTACGGTGATATGAAAAATCAGCGACGATTTTTGCGTACGTACGAGGGCTATTTCATAATGGGTCATCTTGTCAGAGGATGACTATAAAATGCCTTCGTCATCTCGATTTTGGATGGCGTGCAATTTGGTTTCCGTGTTTCAAAGAAGATATTTTCGTCAAAGTGAAACGGAAGGTTGGCATGTTAAGCGATCGTAGATAAAGAGAGAGCTTCACCTTGCAGGATTTTTTGCTAAAGAGAAGAGTATATGACATTTTAGGCTTTCCCGCGAGCAATTATTGGTCCTTTTTTTATGCATGGAAGTGGGTTTTAATTTTCTAGGCCATGGACGGCGAGAAAAACCTCAAATCCAGTCAATTTCAGATGCTCCTTCAAAAAAAATAAAAGGAAGGAGAAATGCTGAATCCAGATAAAAGGAAGCAAAAAAATTAATTTCCATGCGCGTAGTCACTCGATTATTACCACGAAACGAAATTGATCCGTAACATCCAAAACGCCGACTTTCAAGAATTCCGCACCTGCATTCACATCCCACGGGTGTAAAATGGTGATAAAACGAAGAAATGCGCCGAAATGAATTGAAAACCATCTAAAAGCGGATTACAACAGGTATACGATAAAATATAGAAATAGCCAGAACCAGGGACAGACCTGGGCACGAGGGAGGAAAGGAAGCACATGCAGAAGAGACATTGCAAGGGGGAAGTGGGATATGAACTGGAGGGCATGGCACCGAAAACAACTGCGCCAATGAGGAGTTGCGATCTGACGTCACTCATCGCGTCATCTCGGCCCCTGGGGGGGACTGACACCGCCTTCACTTCCGGTCCTATCCCCGATCTCCCAAAGGCCACCTGTGACCTATCGTAAGGAGGAACCGCGTGACCGATGACGTCACGTTGCAATCCCCCCCCCTCTTCTCATTGGCGCTGCACGTGCCACGAATAACGGTTGCTTCCAGCGCCACGTTTTTTCTAACTGAACGTCGAATAGGAGCTCGAACTACGACTTGCAACTGATGAAGAGCCACATGCGACAAAGGGAATTCGACAAGCGATGTCTGTGAGTCACAAAAAATTCCCACGTGCGAAAAGGCCATCGGCTGGGGACTTTTATTGACGCTGACGCTAAATAAATTTAAAAAAAAAAGTAAAATCACAATACGCTATTTAAAAAAATATTTCTACCCGCAGAATTTCACATTCTGATAATTCGTCCTTAAAATGCATCGATGGCTCTTAAACCTCGCTATTTTGATCGCGAAGTGACGCAGACAAGTCAGTTTCATACGAGATCGTAGACTAGATAGGTCTGCTCGACAGCGGAGCGAGTTTTGAGCCCTCTCTGCGCATGACGTCACGTGGTTCAAGAGAGCGCTGCGTCGTCCGCTACCGCATTGTAGTGATCACGGGAGAAAACATTATTTTTCTCATCCCTTACAGCTCCGAGCAATAGCTACATTTCATCATGAATTTATTATGGGTCAATATTTGCTAGAGTGAAGTAATTCAAATCAGACTGGAGGAAGAGACGGTGTATTCGAAAGGAAATTTGATCATTCTCATAATCTATTTTCTTCCAATCTGTCCATTCCTCGACTCATCTTCTTCACTGACTTTTGGGTGTGTCTCTGTGCTCTCTCACCATTCAGTCTCCGAATTCGGAAGAAAGTGCGGCATCGCACAAAGAGATCAATTAATTCTTTTATGACAGCCTTCTTCCCTGTAATCAAAGTGCCATCACACCCGTAAAATTCGTTGAACATTCGTTCTATGGACAAACACTGATTTAAAAATTCCACATTCGGCCTCGTTAAACTCCCTCGTGAAACGGGTCTATCCAGCTTCTTCCCTCGGAAAATGACTCTCGTATCTTGAAGATCAGGACACTTCAATCAATGGGAGAATACTGTAGCATTTCACAAATCATTGACGCTCATAGTCTTCAAGTTGAAAATGAGAACATATTCTGGCGTTTTCCGGAATGACTTTGTCCGCACGGTGGCAGAGATGTACCCACTTACTTTCGGCTTCTCTATGTTTTGGGAAGCGGAAGTATCGAATCCTCTTCGTGACATCATTTTGGTTTTTGCAGCTCGCAACAGCACATCCGACCATTTTGCGTTGATGACGAGAGAAACACGTAAAGCCTCGCAAAAGAGGAACAGGAAATGTGAAGGAGTAAAAAAGCTAAGGGGCAACTGGAGGACTTCCGTGTGCTGCTTGAACCACGTGACGTCAGCAGGAGACGACGTATTGGAGCGGGGCTGCGCGTGAGCAGACCTGTCTAGTCTACGATCTCGGTTTCATAATTTTACCATATCGTGACTCGTAGAACGTGGCCAATGATCAGTCTAAGAGGTGATGCCCTTCCTTAGCCTTCCGTGGAGACTTGCCACAACTCGGCATACCGTCGATCATCGCAAGTAATCGCTCGAAATATCTTTCCAAATGCGGCTCCAAACGACTCTTGATATTATCTTGTGGGTTCGTCGATCGCTCCGTCACTGGTATGACCCCAGACGTGCTCTGGACTCTGCTCCGTCGAGAGTAGGACACCGATGCCGATTTCTTCTGGTTTTCCCATCGACAGCCTGTAATTGCGCGTCGGAGCAAGATCTCGTCGAAAAGTGGGTTCGGCAACGCAGGTGAAGTGAGCGTTGCACGCTCGGAAACGTGTCATCCCGGATCGTCTCATAATATTCCCAAAGAGTAAAACCACCTAAGTTCGGACGCTCTAACGTTTATCGTTTATTAATACGCAGTCGCGAGAATGAGATCAGAGAGAGTTCTTCTTAACCATAGACGACCGTGTTGCTAAGCGAAAGACTTGCGGTGGCCGCGATCGTCGAGTACGATTTGCAAATATCGGGCAGAAATGAATGTGTATCGCGGACAGGACGAATTCAAGAAAACGTACGAGGACGACCTTACTCGTGAAACGCTTCCCTCGTGACGTTTCCCCCTGTGATCGATTCTCATTCCACAGGAAACTAGGGAACGTAGAGCACTGCTACAAGGGAATACGCATGTCAAGAGCACATTTCCGTCATACTTCTGGTGTGTCCAAACCACGTTCCGTTCGAACTTCATTTTTTCGCATCTAAGTTCGAACACCCAAGTAATAGGAATTATTGGAGGCCATGAGGCTTCGATGGTCATCATTTTCATCACACTCGTGCCTACTCTTATCTTGCTGTCGGACGCAAAAAAAAAAAGAAGTATCTGGATTGTACCGTTAAGGCGTGACGAGCGATTTACAATCCTATCCCGGCTCGACCGTCCGAACATTGGTGGTTTTATCCGATCTTCACATTTTCTTTTCACCAGATACGATCACCAATCGATTCGGCCAAAAGAGCGAGAAAGCGAATTCATTTTTGGAAACGACGAGACGACGACGATTGTGATTTCTTCGCGGCCTGCGGTCACGAATCAACGTACGAGGGAGGTAGAAAACGTGGCATCCGCGAATGCCGCCTGGGACCCCTCGTCGGTCGAACCTACGGCCAGTGACGAAGACGTGAAGGCGAGCGGTGTCGGATTTTCGCGAAAGAGAGAAACGCGATCGTTTCGCGCTTGCATCAGCGTGTCGGGTGGAAGATGCCCGAACGGAACGAACCGCATGCCACAGGGTCGCTCGTCGATGTCGTACGCGAAAACGGGAAGGATCTCCCCGTCGACCGGCCGTCTGCAAAAGTCCTCGATCCCAGTGAACGCCGTTCGCCGGTGGACGACCTCACCCGAGTCGATCGCAACTCACACTGCAGCGTGTGTAAAAGGCAGTCTCGCTCGACCGCGGTCGTTCGCTCTGAGCTCAGATCAGGTGACCCACCGACACTAACTTTACAGACGGTCGATCCCTGCGTAATCCTCAAGGCGTTCGCGTACAGCATCGACAGAAGTCACGGTCACAGGGTAATTTGCAATGGCTTTCGTTACTCCATCGCCTTTTTTCCGACTTGTCTAAAATCGCAAAGCTTCCTTTTCTATTTATTATCTTGCAGTTCATATTTGCGCGCGAAGCCTTGAACCACTTTGCTCCCCGCTCCATTCCTTCCAAAATGTAACTCTGGCTACATCGCTGCGTTGAACTGTGGCATACGGTCATGACGACCCCGAGAAAAAAACTGCATTCCGGACGTGCAATATCGTTCGGATAGATTCTCGACACGACGGCCGAGTTTCGCGATGGCAGTCGGTAGTTTCGACGATGCGACGCCCCGACCGAGCGCATGGATCCGTCAAGACTTCCTTCGCAAACGCATCCTAGGGTCAGGGACTGAGATTCCTACCGCATCTCGCCTCAAGGTCGATACGAAAATAAAAATCTCTCATTCGTGCTTCACTCGTTCCCGAAAAAGGTGGGTGAAAGGATGGAGACCAGCCGTCAACCCGATACGGAGCGCGAAATATTATTAATAGCACGAGTCGTTATAGCTTTGTTCTTGTGCTTCTGGAGTGACTCGATTAGTATAAATCACACTAGGCGGTGGCTACACCTTCAAAACCGATGCATCTTAGCAATTGCCAATCTTGTCTGTAAGAGTAAATCTATTTCATTCATCACCTCTCCAATCGGACCCTTCCAGGTAATTATCATGGCTTATTCGCATTCAACATCTCAAAGCCACGCACGGTTGCCAGCAAGCCTTCGCATCAGTCCCTCTATACCTAAGTTCCCAAGAGCAGTGGCGTAGCGAGGGGGGTGGGCTGGGGGGGCTGAAGCCCCGTCAACTCTGGTCAAAATGCATCCGACCCCCCCCCCCCCCCCCCCCCCCCCCCCCCCCCCCCCCCCCCCNCCCCGCCACCCCTGGGCAAAACGCCCCCCCCCCCCCCCCCCCCCCCTCCCACCGTTCCGCTTAGCCCCCGTTGGCGATATCCTGGCTACGCTACTGCCCAAGAGCCACTCAATTCATCTACTTCTTCCACCCTTGCATAGCAGTCTCGGGTCTGTGAGAAATGGGTGGGCCTCACCTCGATACAGGCGTCCGAAGTCGTCATAGCGACTTCTTATTCCTCGACTGCGTGGTCCGACGTTAGAGCATAGACTCGGATTAACCACCCGATACCTCATGAATATCTCACTCGCCGAATAAGACGGTTTAATCGACTGTCACCGCTTTCCATTTTTCAGCTACATCTCTGCGTACCGGAAAGCACACACTTCGATCTTCCAAGTCACAGTGGTATAACATGCAGCTGCTTCTACAATATCCATTTCTTCTTCTACGATCTTCGTTAAGGCCAATCATATTTCACTCAACGTAGGGTCAGATTCTTTCCACTAAAACCCAACTTCCTCCCATCACCAGCTCCCCGCTCCTGAGCGTACTTCCCTATCGTTTCCATATTCCCGCCTTCAGTGTTGGTCGCGTTACTTTTGAAAAGTAACTAGTTACAATTACAAGTATGTCATCCAAAAAGTAATTAGTTACCAGTAGAGTTACTTCTCACCAAAAGTAACTAGGTACAAGTAGAAGTTACTTTTTCTGAACAAAATTCCGATCTTTCTACAGCTTCTCCACTTCTTCGACAGAAGCTGGATGCACGAACTGAAAGCGAAAATTACCCTTGATTTCGCGAAAATTGAATTATAATCATCACTTAACGGGATAAATACTCATGCTCACTCTTTTCCTGTGCCTCTTCCCTTTCTATGGGCTACTTAACAGGAATTATACGCCGATAGACAGAATGCAACGTTTCTGACCTGCACATCGAAATATGTTTGCAGGTACAGCCAAGAAACCTGCACTGAATAAACCATGTTTTCTCAAGGCAATTTCATGTCCCCGTCTTTCCTCCCAATATTGCATCAATTAGGATGTATGTAGCCATGAAGCGCTGGTTGTTTTCAGCTAACTTAGTAGATCATCCAGAAAAGGAACGCGTCAAAGTAACGCCACATACTTCTCCCATGAAAAAGGAACTAGTTACCGGTTCCGTTACCCTCCCCTGGAAAATAACTCGTTACCTCAAAAGTTACTGAAAAAAGTAATTAGTTACTGTAACGCGTTACTTTTACTTCGTTACCGCCCAACACTGCCCGCCTTACATTACAGGGAAAGAAGGTAAGGATGAAGCCATTACAACCATAAGGGATGACCTTCCTTTGACCCGGATGACCCAGCAAGATCAGGGGCATCTATTATTTGACTAGTTATTTGTCAGAAGCAAAGAGGCCATATTATAGAATGTACAGTCAACTCTCGATATACCGCCACTGTTGGTCCCAGCCGATTTTGGCGCTAAATCGAAACACATGGCTTTAAAATTGAGAATTTTCGTTCTCAGGAAAGACTTGGCGATATGCGAGAGTGGCGGTATATCGGATGGCGGCATATCGAGAGTTGACTGTATATTTGATGTACTGCCACACAGGACGGGCGTTCATGAAGAGGATTTCATTTCCAAAATTGACACTGAAAAGAAGAGATTGTATAAAGAAACATGGTGACTTTTCTACAAAATTTCACTGTAAGGGTACATTAATCCATTTTTGCATATTCCCCAAGAGATATTTCCATTCAACCAGACAGGAGACAGGAACATTGAAAGACTTGGAAGGGGAAAAGGGAAGAAAGTTGTTCATTTACATGAACTACTGATAGTAAGTAAATTCATTCGATTTTCAAGAAATTGGACCCTACTTCCTGTTTACTAATTAAAAAAAAATGTTTTCCAGACCCGTGGAAACCTTGTAGGACAAACAAATGAGATCTCACAATTAGGATATGAAACCAGTTTCATTTAGCACATATCCTGAGTATATGCTTGCTACCTTTTATTTTTAAAAGGAGCATGAAAGGCATGCTTCGGCATGGATGTTCATTCAAGAAGAAAGAGTTACCAGACACTTCCACTTCTTTTTCGTTTGTCCAGGAACTACAGGGTGCTCCACAAGGATGGACACCACTCCCCCCTCCTTACACACATAAAACATAAAAGTAAAGAAATATAAAAATATAAAAAAGATAAAAAAAGCTAATTTTGCAACTTGAAACATTTCTTGCCTCTTTCTGTTCCAGGATGATAGCTTGCGCTCAAACAGTCAAAGTTGATCATAAAGCTTCAGTGAACTGACAGGATCTTGGCAATGACTTTCAAATAAGCATGTGATGTCACTGCATATTTAATTTGGAATTTCCTAGATTGGACTGGGATGAAGTTAAAAGTTTGTGTTAAACTTGAGAAGAGATAGTGATCTCAGCAGCTGATGCTCACTTCATCCCAGTCTTTGTAATTCAGGGTTAAGAAATAAAAGATGCATGAGCTTATGCTAAGCTTCTATAAGCCTCAATGAAAGTTCTTGTTCATATTCTGTCAACCAGCTGAAACTTCCTATAATTACCAGCTTTTGGCATTTTAATATAGGCAATCACAATGGAATAGTAAAGCATAGGAAATAGAGCTGTTTCAAAATGTAACATTGTTTTTTCTTAAAAAATTCCTAAGCCATTTTGTATAGGAGGGGGGTCCACCATCATGGAATATCCTGAAGGCTACATTGTAGCTTTTCTTTCTCTGGGATCAAATGCATTATCCCTCGTTATGAAGTACTGTCATGAACCAGTTTCAACAAGGAGTTCAGCACTTAGATATGCCAATATGTTATGATATGCTAATTGGATGTTGATGCTGTAGTTCCAATCAAAAACTAAAAACTCTTGAGTAATTAATTGTTGCATAAACTTCTCCTCCTCAGGTCCTATTGCTTTCTCAAGTATCAATGAGATCAGGAAACTGCCAGCAGAACTCTCCTGTGATATTGCCTATTTGCCAGTTCTGTACCAGACCTCATTTTGACATCACTGTGACAAGCGGCACTTCATGAGCATTGCATTGATACACAAGTTGACATATACCCTTCAATGACAATTGGAAACAACAGGACACTTAGCACGATCTGGACTGTTCTTCAAAATACATAGATTAAGTCTCATCATACTACTAATGCTCACGGAAGATGTCATAAGCCATAATATTAATTTAGTCATGATTGTAGAGAATGTTTCCATTTGCAATCATCTGGCAGGAATCCACTGAGATGAAAAATTACATAAACTTATTGGGGAACAACACGAGTCTTTGGTCGTGGGGAATTATGAGGCACTCCAGTCTTGCTCCCATGATGAAGGTTGCGATCACCACAATTGTGTCGTTGGACCTTCTCCGACAGATGAGCAACCTCTTTCTTCAAGGCCTTGATCTCCTCCACATATGCCCCTATCTTCCCCTTACCTACAACATGGTGGAATTGTGCTTTCATTTGTAAAGCAATCACCTCAAGGCTCTGGTTAATTTAGAGGACAACTGAAATACCAGAAATAGGCCTATGCTTCTCATGCTTTTTGCTTCCATGTGTGCCTTCCAAACTCTATGTTTTCCCTCCATCCAAATATGTTCCCTGTCCTCTCCAAAGGTGTTCAAACAAAACTGTCAGAACCCAATGCCCTATTTCTAATGTCACACATTCTATTCTGTCATTAATGTTTACTTGAGTCAGATCTTCAACATCTGAGTCAAAGACAAACACCTAAAAATGAAATATAATCCATGCTCCATGCAAGAATAACAACTCACTCAATTCTCAGTTGGTATCATTACCCATGGACAGCATGTGCTATGCAAAAGAGGAGTACTGAGTCTAAGTTTTCTATTGCAATTTTGATTTTTCTGACTAAATTCAGAGTTATTGGGTGCATTATTATTGATATGCATGCCAAAAAGCCATAAGAGCAGAAGTCTGGTCTTAAAAACTGTAGAAACCAAAGTTTCATATTTCAAAATAGTGTTCAGTGGGAAACAACTAACCTTCATGTTTCTAGGGAAGCAAAAAACTTTCCATTCCCAAGCATTTTGAGACAATCTGATGGCCCTACCCCTTCAATGTGAAGGTGTGCTTTGTTGAAGGGATTTTCCTCATAAGTGCTTCAGCTATTGAAACATTGCAATATGAAAGACTTGCTGCAAAGAAGTAAATACTAAATTGCTTCTGAAAACATGATGAATGATCACAATGTTGCCAGACCTGAAATGCCATAATTAATTTAAATATTGTCTGATATTTTCCTGATGAAACATCTGATGTTCCAGGATTGGCCTCATTATAAATCTCTAAAATCCATTTGCTTCAAACCCAATCCCTGATATTTTTGTACCCATACTCTACTTAATAAAAATTTTCATTCTTCCTAGTGGCACTTGTTTCGCTCAGTTATAGCTTCAATCATGGAGAAAAAAAACAGGTATCATAATGACTTCTGGTATCTGGACAGGAGACTTGACCTGACCTGAAAGGAGTTCATGAGATTTGAGCTGTGCATTTTCAGCTTGAAGGTCCTTGAACCTAGTCTTCAGGTTCCTTAAAATGACCTCAGTTTCCTCATCCAGTAATTCCTTCCTCATCAGGTGATCCAGCCATTTCACTTCCTCCAACTTCATCTCCTGCATTCATTATTATTGCATGTTGAGAAAGTCACACTTCCATTCATCATGCATTCATAAAGTCAGGAATGATAGGATTATAGCCTAATAATTTTTCATTGCCAACAAAGTTTCAAACCCAATTATGACATTGTTATGCCAAAGTTATCTTGACCACAAGATCTGAGCCAAGGGACTAAAATGGATCCAGATTGACTTAGTGATCCTAACTTAGTCATTTGGGTTGTTCTGGGCCATTCATATCAGATTTTGCAGTTGAAATAACTTCAGAATCATGGCACCATATCAGGTAGACACATGGGTCATAATAAGGCAGTAAATGCTACAGGGTGTCTGAAAAGTCACTGTGCAGTAGAATTAATTTATTTTGTTGCATCGTATTTAGCATTGTACTGCGTATCACATGTATTGCATCATCAGAGACATGAATTTCCACTCAATACTTCAAATATTAGCACCATCCCCAATTCACCTAATTTATTGTCTGTAATTCCTAGCTCCAGTGAGGCCTCCTACATCATGTCGCGAATTCTACTGCACAGTGATTTTTCAAACACCCTGTATAATACTATTATACCTGACTTCTGGGATACTGTGTACATAAAAAAAGGAAACAATTGAATTGTTTTAAAATGTCAAGACCAGCCCAGAGAAATGGAATGAAATGATCATCATTGTATGCAAAAATTAAACTTAAAGTGCTGCATTTGAAAGCTGCACCTGATACATACTGAAAAGAGGGAAAGACAATACTTACCCTCCTTACAGGAGATCCATCCTTTTCTTTCAGTGATGCTTTTCCTTTGTGTAAAGGTCCTTCATCTGCATTCATAGGAAAAGACACAGAGAGCTGAGAAAAGTTTCAGCAACTGAGAATTTGCATAACATTTCACTGAGAATCTGAGCTAATACTGTCTGAATGTTCCAGGTAAATTCGAATGCAGTTCCCAGGGTGTCATCCATTGGCATTAGACTTTTGCAGAACATTAATTTGAGATCAGAAACCTGATCTCTGACAGACTATTCACTTCCTTATTTGACCAGTAAATTTCACATCCACCTTGGGTGAATGAATATAAACATGATGATATTCCAAGAAAGATATGATGCAATGCATCTAGTAATCATGAAATCAAGAAGCACGAAGTAAAGCAGGGATGATTATTGCCATATTGCATAATATGTCACATCAGTGTTATTTGTTCTATTGTGGTACAATATGATATTTTTTTTTACAGCAGTCAGCAGAGGATGGTTTTCATGGTGGGGGTTCACATGTAGGAAGAGAAGATCAGATTTCATGCCAGACTCATGAGATAGCTATCTTATCACAAGGGGGGAGGGGGGAAAATGAGCTAGATCAAAAATTATACATGGTGGGCCAAAAAAAACAAAGCTATCATTTTTGGTAAGCTGTCAATCTGATTGTATGTGGCTCATTTTTATGACATTTGGTATACACACAGGGTGACTCAATTAGGGTTTGTGTGCCAAGTTTCAAATAAAAATGTCAAAAACTATGAATTGGCATTTAATTTACTTTTCATCATCAAAAAAGTAAGTGTTCATTTTTTATTTCAGCTTAAAAATTCTTTTGTCACAAATGACAAAAACAAGCAAGCAAACAAACAGAACAAAAACATATGCAAAAATGGCAAACACGAAAGCACACAATTTGGTTTGGGGACGTACATTTTAACTGAAAAGGTGCTCAATGTGCCCTCCATTCTGTTGAAAGCAAACCTCTACTCTGGGACACCACAGATCAATGGTTTGGTCAATAAACCTTTGAGGCAGTGCCTCCCAACCTTCCTTTGTAGCATCACGCAGGAATGGAAGGTCAATGAATTCGGACCTCCCTTTCCTCCCGATCTCAAGATTATATCGATATTTTCGATAGCACATTTTGTAGATAGTCATCAGAAAATAATTACAACTCCTATAATTTTAAAGACAGATAACTGAAATTTGGCATGCAAACTCCAATTGTGTCACCTTATAAGCCTACAAATTTTAATTGAAATCAGCAGCATACAAAGAGATAGACAACTCACCAAAAATGATAGCTTTGTTTATTTTGGCCCACCCTGTATATCATATCTTAGCAGCAAGTCAAATCTTATGATAATGGATTTTCAATCCCCACAGTGGCTAGCATTTTTGCTGCCATTGAACCGATTACCACATTCCCTAGGATTCCTGGAACAATGGGAAGAAGAGTTGGAGACTGCATCTGGTGCCTCAGAAGGGTGAAGGCAGGGGTCCCTGTCTGTTTCTGGTTCTCTCCTCTAGCTACATCTTAAATCTAATTACTATTTTTTGTCTCTCTATCTCCCTTTCCTCTGAGATAATTGACCAGCAACGAAAAATCCTTATAATTCAGTTGTAGAAGGGAAGAATTCTGAAGCAGAAAGACACCTTGAAAGATATGAAGGAAAAATATAAACTGAAACAAAGACAGCCTCAAAAAATATGAGGAAATCAAAGCAGAGTGTGAAAAATTGAAGGCAAATTTTTTATTTACGAATCATGCATCATGCATGTGGAAAATGAATTCTAACCCTGAAGTGAGAGCAGTCAACCAAGGATAATCTTAAATGAAATAATCAATTGTATAAAAGGAAGGTACATAGAAGCAAGTGAAACTTACAATGTACTTCATCAGGTTGCAGCAGTACATCAATTGACCCAGTTTGTAAGCCTCTTCTCTGTAGTTCCTCATAGAGGATCTAAAAAAGGAAACAGAGCTCCAAGTTTGTTCACACCATGAAGGTTCACTTCAAGTGAAGTGAGCCTTCTGATGTGAGGTAAGAATGACTGACAAGGAGGAACACAGCAATTTAAGTTTCACACAAATGAAAAATTTGGGGTGCTGAGGCCATTTCTCCCACACTATATAGGATACTGGTGTCAGCCAATCTGATGGAGCATCAGCAAAATTTAGCATAGGTACATCTTGAGCAATAATCCTGATTGAAAATTGTGTTTTGACTCATCATCTACAGGTATTTGCCATCAGACTCTTGTAGCAGCCTAATTTTTACTGACTCAGCTGGTACTATATAAAAATTTTCATGAGTTTGAACTGACTTTTGGGAACTGATCATTTAGCATTTTAAATAAAGGGCATATGCCTAAGTTGTCTCTAAGGGATTTGTTTTGCAAACTTTTGTTGTCTCCTCTGGCTTAGGAGTGAGGCTTTGGTGCCAAGTGCAATCATGTTTCTCTTGCTTCTGCAGGGAAATTGTGGTTCATTGCCATAAGTGAGATGGGAACTTTGCAGGGAAAAGCTCAGTGTGTATTGCAACTGGCATCCTAAAGTGTACTAGCCAGAACAAAGTCTTGTGTGAGCAATGCGAGTTTTTAGGAATTTCAAAAAGCTCAATCTATATGCTTTCAGAAGATGGCACAAGCAGTTTAAAAATGTAGTGTCATATACCAGAAGAAACTAGACCTGTGTCTGACAGACTTGCATGTGGGGCTTCTTGCTAATGTATCATACTTCAGCCAGATGAACCATGCCTACCTTCTTCCTCCTAGTTGATGACATTTTCCTTGTTTCTAAATTCCTTATGCCATCCTCTGATAACACCATGCTATAACCACATGTTGATCTAGCACCAACCTGAAACTTGTGGGAGAGGCGTTCATTTTCAATTCGAAGAAGATCGAGGGCAAAGGAATCCTCAGAGCAACGAACATCAGCTTGCTCCAACCGCATCCCCAGGAGCCTCACTTCACACTCCATCCTCAATTTCTCCTGTCCCAAACATTCATGCCTAGAAATGGAACATTAGTATCAGAAAAGAGATCATGAACATGCTCTAGGAGGAACCAAATTATATTATTCACTTGGCCAAAAGATCATCATAGTCTTGTTGGAGTGCTTGTAACCGTGCATCAGAATGCTTTTGTTCCTCTCTTGTGGCATGAATTTCCTGTCTCAAAGATGACAGCTGTCTATGATATTTTCCTTCCATCAGTCTCCTTTCATGCTCCACCTGATGTTTCCATTCCAACTCAGCTTCCTTTCTGAAATGATGTGGGAAAATAAACAAACATAAAAATCCTAGAATTCAATACATGCCAGACTTTCAATAATATTAACAATTATATTTTTCCACTTGTATATTTTTAAGTAGGGTAAATCTACCAATTAATTTTACATATTTTCATTCACTGAAAAATAATTTGTATATGTTTTATTACATCTCTAAAATTAACATGACTTAATGGCTTAATCTGGACATTGAAATTGAATATGCTATGTTCAAGCAAAAATTGAATGACCCATAAGTAATATACAGGGTATCCCATAAGTCCCTTTACCCTCACGTTTTTTTTCCAGGTGAATTACAGTAAGGATTTATGAAAATGGCAGAAGATATAAGTGACCCAAGTCCCTTTATATTGTCAAACAAGTGCTATTAATTGTCATAATAAACGTAAAAATGCATAAATAACTAATTGCATAAGTTTCATTTTGTTACCCTATTCCACTAGGAAAGATTCAGGGGTAAAGGGACTTATGGGACACCCTGTATAATAGGCCCAAGCAACACATACATCTAAATCAGGGGTGTCAAACATACAGCCCACTGAGGTGGTTCATCTGGCCCACCATCTGTTCTTGAAATTTTCCCTTGGATTGACTGTTAGCACAAATTTCAGTGAAAAATTATGGGTGCGGCCCACAGGCATCTGCAGGGTAAGGAATGCGGCCCACTGACCGATTTGAGTTTGACACCCCTGATCTAAATGATGCCTATGCAACATTACTGCAATGTCAGCTCAAGTACCATTGCAGCAATGTTGCATGGATGTCATGTGTTGCTTGGGAGGGTATTACAGATTTCAGGTTGACGTAATTGTCTTTGGAGTCATGATTTACTTAATTGCTAATTTTACTGTTTTCACATGATTCATTCAGGTAACCACACAATAAGCATAGTACCTCTGATAAGTTATACCTTGAAGTCCAGTCATACATGAAGAAGCACAGGGCATTTACATTCAACTTAACACAAGGTTTTGGATCATGCCATTCTATGGAATGATTTCAGGAAATGCTTGTGATTGGGACTCACCTGGAATTCTCCAAGAGAAACTTGCTTTTGGTTGCATTCTCCCTTGCTTCTGTAAGGGATTTATTGAGGAGCACAATATCTTCTTCAGCCTTCTTGGTCCGTTTCTCCCAATTCCCTTTGTCCTTCTCCAGCCCTTCCTTTGATCTGGTCAAGATACGAATCTCTTCCTGCAAAGCCTTCACCTCCATGTCTTTTCCTTCCACCTCCAGTCTCAAATTGGACACCAGATCCCTGAGAAAAAGAGATCAAACATGTCCTTTTGGACTTCATTGCTGTATCACCTTTCATGACTGATGCTAACCAACAACTTCTAATTTGAAGATTCATTATGGACTTTCAAAGAGTATGTCATTGTTGAGTATGCAAGGAACTGATGGCAAGAGAAACTTCTGAGTCCTGCAAGCTCAGCCATGAATATTCCAGATATGAAAGTTCTACCTCATCTCATTTCATGAAGATTCAAACCTGGACAGAAGGACAGGTATTATGCAGGAGAAAGAAAAAAAAGGCAGGTCTACCTTACACAGGAACTCATTCATGAAATGCTAATGGTACTATAAGTTTTCAAACCTGTGAACTCCAGTAAGGACATGAATGGTCATGAGAAATAATCAAAATGCCCCCCGGATTTTATGCCCAAATCAGAAGGAAGATGTTAAGTACAGGGTGACAATTCTCAATGTTACAGATTTTAATGGCTCACCATGTACAAAATTTTCAATGGAGAGAGTTGAGTGACACATCTCTAGAAAGCTTGTCTCATTTAGTTTTGTTTTGTTTCATTGCAGACTTGTTAAGATGAGGGGTCAATATTTGCTAGAGCATAGAGCTTGGATAGTGACTAAATTCATGGAGACAAGGTCAAACTGTGGGAATGCTGAAATCAAAATGGAGGGCATCTTGAACACACCCACGTGGAAATTCTGTACATGACAGGGTGTATGATTCTATATGGCCATGTATGATCATATATTTGCAATATACCACCATATATGTATTCATATATTATCAGTAATACAATATCAAAAGTTATGGGCTAATGGCATCATGTCTGACATGTGGTAAATTTCCATAGGCAAGTCTTATGGTTGTTAATGAATGCAACATGAGGTCAGTGGGCCAGAGGGGGTCAGGGGCCAGAGGACTCCTCCAGCTGAGGGGGAGGAGTCCTCAAACCCGACCCAGGTGATATTGGGGGAGAAAAATCATACCAAGCTCCATACCAGGGGATGCTGGGGGGGGAAGGGGGTGGCATCTGCACTCCCTGCTGCCACTGCATGAGGCTTTTACATGAAGGCCATGACCTTCTGATGCCTCTGCAAGTGATATTTTACTTACCCATTACATTGTACATGAAAAATTAGCCATGTATAACCTTTAAAGTAATTTCCCAAAATATTTATTTCAAACCTCTACCCTCCCTGGATAGCAAAAGTGTATCAAGTATGAAAAAAGTGGGAGGGGGGGCATGGGAACTCTAGGGCAGCAGTGCATAAACTTTTCAGTTCCATCCATGTATTCTGTTGTGTCCCTTTATTCCCCTCCCTCCCCCCTCCCCTGGTTCCATTTTATCAGAAACTGACTGAAATTTCAAGGAAGTTGGCATGAGAAATGAAAAACAAATATATGGATTATGTACCCTTTTAGGATGTGGGTATTTGTCAGACATTCTCACCATATGTAGACATGTTTAACTTCATATATGGTGCAATTGTATGAGCCAATATATGAAAATATATGGGGCCATATATTTTCATTATTATATGATTTCATGTGACTTGTGTCAAACCCCATACATGTTTCATATATGTTCATATAGGAATTGTACTATATGTTTATATATGCTCCATATATGTTAGACTGGCTAAATACATATGACCATTTCATATATGGTCTTATATGAAATTTTCACATGGGCATTTTAGCATAACTTCAGTATAATTTGGCAAATTTCTTTGATATCAATAAAACTGCAGAGCTTCAGCCTTAAATTGAGCAATTACTCATTAAAATCAGTAGTCAATTAAAATAATGTGAGCTTATGAAAATCTGTAACACTGAAAATTGTCACCCTGTATATATATGAAAAGACACCCTGTACCTTAAACCAACACAGCAAGCAAGGTTTACCCATTTTGTAACTCCATAAAGGATATAAAAAGGAGTTCTAAAAATGAACAAAGCTCAGATCATTGGCAGTGATAAAATTAGCTAATCTGCACCTGAGGTGATTGGTGTCTTGAATTAGGAGATTGCGCTTCTCCTTCCATCTCTCATAGTCAGCAACAGGATCTCCAGCATCTCCAAAGAGGGCCTTGAATTTCCCATATTCCCTCTCAACTTGGGCATGAACCTTCTCCAATTCAGCATAGAGAAGCCGGATATGCTCCACCTCTTTGGTCTTCCAGTCCAGTCGCGTCCGAAGTTCTCCATTCTCTCTTTTCAATGCCCCCATTGTCTCATACAGCTTCAGATTCTCTTGACGAAGAAACCGAGTTTGTTCATATATATGTATTCGCACTACATCTTTTACAGAAAGATCCTCTTCTTTCTGCATTTTCAAGACCTTGTATTGACAATCATCCAACTGGAGCTCCTTCAATTCCTTTTTCATGGATTCAGCGCCTTCTTGTAACCTATTTGACAATAATTGAAGTTCACATAAATGAAATCTAGAACTTATTGTGAAGAAAAAATAAAGAAATTATACAAAGATCTTCTCAGACAGACATTAAGAAAGGGAAACAAAGAATGCAGAATTACCATAAGATGAGTCATACCCAATTGATTTTCTTATCAAGTATATCAGGGGCTCTGAACCCCTGACCCACAGAATCCTAGAGCCAGGAGTCCATAGATGAATCTAGGTTGGCAACACACATGTACATAGTATTACATCATAGCCTACTTCTCAGTGAACCTAATTACAATGTGTCTACATGCACAAAATGCAGCTAAATTGGTTCCAATTCATGAGACCTAGGTTGCAATGAAAAACAAGAGACCAAAGCAGAGGTTCATAAATGACAGTGGTCTGCAGTTCACCTGGCATTGACTTCTTCCAACAGCTGCTGCTTGGATACCAATACCTTCAGTTCCTCAGCAACCTGCAGCCTCCAGTCTGAGGACTCACGCAACCCAGCTTCCATCCTACACAATTAGGATGTGCATAGCTTTGTCAAACTCAAAGAATGTGATGAGGACATTAGACAAATTAGATGAGATTAAGCTAGACAGTTAGTGCCTCACAGATGAATTAATTTCATGTACTCAAGGTCAAAGACATTGTTCTGATGGTATTATTTTATTTTACCTCATTAGATTCCATGTCTTCCCATGTGAAAATTCCATATATGACAGGGTGTATGATTCAATATGGTCATGTATGATCATATATTTGCCATATACCACCATATATGCATTCATATATTAGCAATTGTATGGCATATAATATATTTTACCTGCATTACAATATTAAGTGTAATGGTCTAATGGCATCACGTCTGATATGTGGTGAATATCCAAAGACAAGTCATATGGTTGTAAGTAAAACAGCATGATGTCAGTGGCACATTTTGGCTGAAGAGTCAGGGAAACAGGGCAGTAGAGTGAGAGTGTCAAGCCTGGGGATGCCTGGGGGGGAGAACCATTTCTTCCTAGGACCATTCCTTCATTGGATTATTTCAGAAACAGTTTTTGTTCCCATCTGTCTTGTGAGTTGTCAGTCGAAATGAAGAAGACAATCCTACATCAGTAAGCCAAGTTTTGTCATGAAATAGCATTACTGATGAAAATACTTGTGCAGATTGAAGTTTATATTGAAACTTTAACCTTCAGTTACAAGGTGTTGAACACCATGAAACAGGAGTTCTTGGAGTAATTGACTATGGTCTATGAACAATTAAAAATGAGTTGATTGCTAAAAAAAAATGCAAAGTATGGTGACTGCATATGAATGACTATACAGTATTTGATGGATTATGGATCCTTTTAAGATACAGGCATGTTTCAGGTAATCTCACCATACATAGATATGACATCGCAGACATGGACAGTATATGGTGCATTTGTATGAGCCAATATATGAAAATGTATGGGGGCATATATTCTGATATGATTTTATGTGACTTCTGTCAAACCCCATATATGTTTCATATACGTACATATATGCACCATGTGTTAGACTGGCCAAATATATGGCCATTTCATATATGGTCTTATATAAAATTTTCATGAGGGTTGCTTAGAGTATTCCCTTTCCACTTATAAAGTTCTAGCTCACTCTTTGAACCTCCATATGCAAAATGTGAAAACCACTTCCCAATGGCTCCAATCACTGGGAATAGACTGGTCCCAGCTGTCCTAAGTAAAATTTTCAACTGTTTTACCTATTTTCCAAAATATCAGACCATCCCGTCCCGCCTAAAATCAAGACGTCCTTTCTGGACAGCCGCAAGAATCCTGCACGACCAGGGGTCGTGCACAGAAGAACGCTGGCGAGAAGCCTGGTATCGCGTGGACGTGAAAAACAAGAACCTCATTGACGATCCATCAGCTGAGGTACCAGGTGTCACACTCCAATGCCGCGAATGGGTGACCTTAAATCGCATCCGGACTCTTCATGGTCATTCCGGACACATGATGCACAAGTGGCGTATTAAACAATCGCCAACGTGCGAATGCGGCACGCCAATCCAAACTATGGAGCACATCATCAACAAGTGCACATTGTACTCATTTCCCAGCAGCATCAAGGATATACACGCAGCATCACTAAAAACTATCGACTGGATTTCAAAGATTAACATCAATTTGTAATAGTTGCTATACCCATACGAAAGAAGAAGATTTTCCAAAATATGATATCAGCCATTATGGAACCGACTATTGTGTATGAAAATTCTTTCTTCAGTAAAATTAGATTGGCTCAGTACACTTTCAGGCCCATTACATATTGAGATCTCTCTCACCTGAGAAGAACTCATTTCAGAGTTCAAAAACCAAAAATACAAACTTGAAATTAAGAAAAAGTGCATCCAAAAATGTAAACTTAAAGAGAAAGTATAAAATGCATATAAGATATGCATATATCAGAGAGCAGGTCTTCTTTTTAGGTTTCCATTTCCCAATATGCATCCCAACATCATATGTGTCTCAGGGAAAAACAGCTCCAATATCCCACCTTGCCCTCAATTGCTGATTTTCCTTTTGCAATACAGCAAGGGAATCTTCAAGAAAGGCAACTTGATTCAGGTGTTCCACTCGCTTAGCAGTCATCTGTGCCAGATGAAGTTTCAGGGTTTGCAATGCAAGAGATTCATCCTCACTGTCTTCATCTTGAGTAGCACTCTCATTCTCTGTCACATTTTTGGAGACAGATTCTGTACTCTCTGCCTTAGCTTCTTCTTCTTCACCTTCAGCATTTCCACTCTTGGTCATGCTACCCAGATGTCTGATGCAGGAAACAGGTTTCACACTCTCCTTGAATTGAACAAGATATAGCCAAGTTTAATGAGTGCAAGAGCAAGAACCAAGTTTACAGAGAGCATTGTTTCTGGTGCAGCAACTCATGAAAGAGAGTTGAAGAGTTCCTCTAAAGCACCAAGTTATAAAAAAAGCTGGATATATGTTGTGTGGTTAGGCTTTTAACTGACAGGAACAGCTCATACCAAAGATATAGTCAAATATCATTCAAAGTTTTACATCATTTTTATATATTCATTCAGAGAAAATTCATCAGCCAACTAGATTGACTTCCATTTGTAAATAGAAAGCAAATTCTTCTATTATTGATCATGAATTGAATTTTCTCTGGGCAGCCCTTCTGATACAAGTTCTTATTTAAGAACATAATACTATTGTGATGACAGTAACAGTGAATACTAGATCTGCAGATCACATAGCATCATGAATCTTCAAATTAATAATGTGGCAAAAATATTTATATACGTTCATACAAATGTGAGCAAGTGCTCAGCTCAAAGAATAAGAGCAGAGCTATGCCCAGAGTCTCTTGTTGCTTTCTACCTCAGCGATGCAGAGGGACAAACAACAGAGATTAACTTTAAGTCATGGAGGCAAACTCTTCACTGTTACCACAGGTGATCATATTTGCAATCCAAGCTATGGGTCACTAAATCCAAACTGAAATAAAATCACTCTACAATGGAAAATGTGCTTTCACAAAGAGAGAAAATACAAACCATTGTTCTGCATGAATGCACTTGTGCACTTCATGAAAGAATAATTACATTCACTTTATTTTCCTCTTGTCTCTCAACACCTGAGAGAAATTCAATCTCAAGAATGCCAGCCATGATGTCATCACTCCAATCGCACAGTAGAAGGAGATTAGCATCAAGGGGAGGAAAGGATAGGAAGTATCCAAGCCCAGAGAAGTGTGGCCCCATGAGTAGAAGACATACACTGCTACCAATCCTGTCAACAAGAACATATTTTCTGTTCCTTATATCATAAAATTCTAATTTTTTACTATCAATAGTTAATCAGTGAAATTAATTTGAACAAGTTCAAAAAAACCTTCACTTCTCCAAGACAGGGAGATAAGTGATATGGAAGATGAATAAAATGACAAACAAAAGCTAACCTTATTTCCAATCTTATCTATCGTCACTGGGAAACTTACCAAACAAATAAAGCCGCTGCATGAAATGTAGTCGGATAGAAGATGGATGAAGATGCAACACTAACAAGACAGTAGCAGTGACATCAGCAATCCATATGAAGACCTTCAAGAGGTTCTCAAAGGGAGTGAAGAACAATGGGAATAATGAGAAGAGAGCTGCATTGGCAAGGAAAGCATAAAGCGAGGCTGCTTCATCCTCCAACAATGCCAGGCACCTACACATCACAAACAAAAACATTTATTTAAAAAACTCTTTTGAAGGATCAGAGGTGCACATTCAAGCCTTATGAAGTATCATATTAGCTGAATGAATCTGACTTCATGATTGGTGTCTACAGGCATGGGTTCATATGAGCTATTGATACCAAACTCCTAATGTGAAATCAGATTGAATCAATTTGATGTTAGGTCATATAAACATTTTTAGGTTAGGTTCTTCAGTGCAACAGGGTCTCTCATGTGAGGAAACACTTGGGATTCAATTGAAATAGTTGCTTTAATCATATCTGTCTATGTTTCAGCAAGATATAGATAGGCTTTGCTTCTGATATATTGAAGCTTTTTTGCCAATTTGCCCCAAGCAAATAATAACGGTATGTCAGGGGAGCATGAAATAGCAAAGTATCTGAGATTCCTCCAGTCAGTCACAGGCAAGCTATTAGCATCTAGATACACTCATTTTAGCTAAAAAGTAGAGTTGTATGTTTTGCACCTTTTAGGCCTTGTCAATATGTTGCCTGATATTCACTTCCTTCATACATTTTTCACCACATCTCAGGATTTCTGTTAAAGCTTTGTGCTTCCTTCTACCCTGATAATGCACTATCAATTTGTTCAATTTCAGGCAATCAATTGTTCTTAACCTAATTATAATGTCCATCACAAGATATCGTAGGGATTTACACTGGGGTTTGCATGGAGCTTTCAATTGAATTGCAGAGAGGTTGAGTTGTGGATGAGTCTTTATCACTGTGAACTCCAAATTCCCACACTAGGAAGGGCTGCATCTGATGGGACTCCCTGAGCTGAGTACTTTTGTCCCCCTCTGTCTGACATGCTGCTCTGAGGAGTTCTTGTCTTCCATAGCCTGAGATGAATGCCTTTCATTTAGAGCAGTGGTGCCCAACCTATGGCCCATGGGCCGGATCCGGCCCACAGTGACAGTTCATCCAGCCCATGGCGCTTCCCAAACATTATTGTAAATGTAATATTAGTGTTAAAAAAATAAGTATTGTGGCCCGCAGGAGGTCCCTTAAGGGGTAATGCGGCACAGTTGGGCAGAAAGGTTGGCCACCCCTGATTTAGAGGAAGTCTGTGGCCCATGCCAACCATCAGACTGTTAGCCTGTATGTGGTAGTATAAGGGAGGAAATCCAATGCTTAGACTTGGAATATGCCATTCGTTTCTTCTAGAGAAGAAATAGGTTCACTAGACTGAGTATGATGCTAAGAAATAACTTGTACAAGAATCCACTGGTACCTTATACAGTTCCAATGAAAACCATTTAACACTTCACAGACAATGGAATAGTATAATCGTCCCTCCTGCCTCTTCCCTGCCAGATGACAGGATGCTGAGTGATCTCAATCATTAAATATTGGCAGAAAATCAATGTGATGAACTGCAAGCCTCACACTTGTCCAGTTGTAAACAAGTTCCTTGTACTGTCTGCTATGTCTGATAAAACTGTCATCTGCAACAGCATGTTGCACCCAGAGACTGTTGTCTGGAAAGAGTAAAGACTAAGCAGTATCAGGCTTTGAATATAAGAGCTTATATTGTAAAAATATTGAATATAGATAATACCATATATTTTTTGCTGCTCTGTTGTACTGAAAATTAGAATAATTCACACTTTTACAAGCCCTGAACATTATAATAAAACTGGAGCATGACTTTTGCTCCATTAAGAGAATAATGCCCATAAAAAAGAAAGTTCTTACGCAAGAGGGATGGTTATGAGCAGGATGGCCTTCTCATGAACATGCCAACCAAATAGGAAGCTGGCAAATGCACAAAGAATCAAACTCTTCAGGAACTGCTGTGGTATGGGACGCCGCCACACACTCCACAAGGCTGGCTGTTGAGATTGAAATGGCCCTTCACATTATCACTCCAGTAGCATCCTTTCTTTAATTTAGTAATAGTTTAGTAATAGGACTGGTACTCACAATCATGAAGGAGAATGTGAGAAGAAAAGTAGCAATAGGTGGTACTGAGGGTAATACTGAATGAACATATTCCTGCACCAAGCCTCCTGTCATAACGCCTTTCTCCAGTGGCACATCATAACCCAGCAAGCGACCTATCCTTCAAATGCAAAAAAAAGGAATCATTGAGGAACTCAACAAATATTAAAAGGATGCATACAAATGGAAGCACTTGAAGCTGAATAAAGGAGACAATTTGGATCATGAGATGACCTGAACTTTGTTTTAAATGTAAATTTGATATATCATTCTCTAATCACAGAGAAAGCAAGCTTTGTATTCCTGGGGATTTGTTTTTTTTTTTTTTTTTTTTTTTTACCAAAAGCTCCACCATCAGAAAACCATCCAACAATATTTAATTCAAGAAATGTGGACCACTAAGCCTCTTGCAATGAGGTATGAATGATTCAGACAAAGGCTGATATTCCTTCCTGTAATTTCTGACTGCTATTATAACAAATCCAGTATTAAGGCAGCTGGAGAGGAAATACAACTGTTACAAAAAAAAAGAAGGCAGGCAATCATTATGCTTGAGCAGCTTCTATGAGGTTCATCTACTTGCTGAAATGGTAAGGGTTCCACACATAAATCCAATAAAACTTGACATATGGAAACTCAATTACCAATTCAAATCATCAACACCACCAGGATCATAAGTATAACTGCTATTCAGTAAATGGGAATTCAATTCCATATCACAGTGTAGAATCTGGTGATGAAAAAGGTTTAGGTTCTCCAAATTAATATTTTTATTGTTCTATATCAATCTTGTAAGATTCACCACATATTTCTCATTTGAAATTTGGAGTCATCAGTATGCTGAACACCAAAATCAAGTAGCTAAAAAGAGTTGCCACTTGATATGTAGCCTGGGTTTGGGGGATCTTTCAGGTTGCTTTAGTACTCAGTATGATTACCTACAGCTAGACCTATTCTGGGCTGTCTCCACCAATTGTCAACCCTAGTACCTAACTGCCTAGAGAAAATTTTAGCAAATTCTTAAATGCAAATCAGGCAGAATTGCAAATGCATCTGGAACTTTCATGACAAAAAGACATCAGAGATTCATACCTAGAGCACCCACCTGAGATGCTGAGAGTTTTATCTGCAGTATTATATAGAGCCCAGAAGTTAGGTGCCCAGTATGCATGACACAATCCTCTCTTGAAAGGGAAAAGACGTCTCAAGACTTGTTGGCCCTGACCCATATAGATGAAGGGGCCAAAGGCTATTGCAAAGACTGAGATAGCTGTAGCCCCCAAGCCAAGAAACTTGGTGAAGTTGAATCCTTTCTCTGACATGCAATGTCTTCGGAGAAGGTAGACAAAATACACAGGTGCCACATACAAGTATATGTGCTTCAAATTCAGCAAGATAGAGAACCACAAAGCAGATGTCAAAGCCCAGTCCTGAAAAAAATGAGGTGAAGACATGACTCTACCTTGTCCACACTACCAGTTCTATACCTTTTTCCTTCTAGCCTTTGAAACTTTAATGTTGCTGTGGTATAGCAGAGTATTTCATATGGTTATGAAAAAGTGCAAGACACATCTCAAGATGGAGAAACATGCTACAGTGCCAGTGACTATAGACATTACCTGGAGCAGTTAGTGTTCATGAGCAAAACACAGTAGTGACATTGATATGGGAAGATGGGGGGAATTCAGCAATGGGTAATTTGAAATTAGGTCAATAGCTAATGAACTGAATTCATTATTGCCACTATTTGCAATTGCATGAAATTTAAAACTATTTTGAAACAATGAAAACTTCTGAATTTATCAAGCAATTCAAAAATACCTTTGACTCAATCCAAAAAACATAGCTGAAAGAATTGAGTTGACATATTTTCCCTCAATAATTAACTTATCCTATCAGAGGTGTATGTTCTTCTACCTGCAAAATGTTCTCAGTTGGGAACGATGCAGAATAATAGGATTGTTTGGTTGAATACAGAGCAAAACACTTATTTCAAACCTATAAACCTTCACTCATCCACAAATTTGGAATTGGGGAAAGTAAGCAAAAAATATGGAGACAATTGTCAGACTTTCTCCTGACAATGCCTTACACTCCATTGAAAGAAATTATAACGTAATCCAAAGAGCATTCCTTTCATTTTAGAAGAGTATGAAAATTTCCCTTCCAATGTTATGTAATGGCAACTCACTTGGAAAATTGCTTCAATAGAAAGTAATAAGATTCCAAATAGGAAACCATTATACTGGAAATGTATATGATCAACTAGGAAGAGTGATCCACTGAGCAGCAGATGAGGATAGAGCCAGTCACAGTCTTGCATATTCTCCTCCACTCCCAGGCTTCTTCTTTTCTGAAGACTCTTCAATGTCTTCAAGTGGTTGCATAATCTAGATTAGAAAAGGGGAGAGAAGACATTTTGACAAATTCTCAAGTCATTCTGGTAGTGCCAGAAGGAATGCGAGGTAGAGATATTACCTCACCTATACACACCAACAGCAAGGATGGCATCTGCCATAATGACAGACAGTCTTTGAAAAAGAATAGTGCCACGTGATACATAGTTGAGATTCTGAACATGGAGCATATCTGGATCAAAGAACCAGGCCACATGGCTGAGACACCATTCAAACCAGGCAAACAAGGGAGGGTAGTCAAGAGTCCATTCTGATGTGTCTTCTGTATACCACTGTCTCAGGGGAAGACTGTGGGTGATGGCCAACCAGTTTCGGTGTACCTCAAAATCAGTTGATCTGCTGAAATACAAGAATTGGAACAGCACATATCATCTAAGAATTCATGACCCAGTGATGCCTGACAGGGTGCAGTGAATGGGAAAAAAAAGTTTACCCTCCTAATCCAGAAAAGTGTGTATGTAGAAAGTCACTTCCCATTTTTAAATTGTAATAACTTCTGCAATAACTGCAACTTTTGGACTAGAACATTGATTTACATGCCAAATGAAACAGAATTCTATTAAATTTCATGATTACGTTTATTTGTTTGTTCACAATAACATTCCATGGCACCAAAATTGAATCTTCAACACCATGCACAAATAGCTGTACAGTATGACATGTGTGGATGTCCAATGTCTAAAGTAACACGTAAGCCTAGCTCCTTCCTCCGCCACCTCTGGGCCATGATGGGGGACCTCCACACCTTATACCATACAGCTGCTAGTACATGGTGTTGAAGATTCAATTTTGATGCCATGGAGGGTAACTGTAAACAAAGAAATCAATGGAATCATAAAAACTAAAATTCTGTATCTTTTTGACACAAAAATCATTATTATAGTCCAAGAATTACAAAAGTTATTGCAATTAAAAAATAGAGTGACTTTCCAAACACCCTGTATATTGGAGGTTTATATACAATCACAGACCAGATGCTCTAAAGACTGAGATGCTCTCTGAACACCATGAAATCATTGTGAAGAACACCACAACACATTCCATATTCTTGAAGGCACAGTTTAGCAGTTTCCTGGATGCCTATTAACCCTTTCAGTACGGAGTTTGGCAGTCATTATCTTCATCCATGGACTGAGTTAGTTTTATGGAAGAAGTACAATGTGGATATGGATGTGGATGTGGGAACGCATTGGCCCATATGTGTTCATAGTCCTAAGGAGCAGCTTACTACAAAACGTGCATACACGTTTACAGTCCAATAGGCACAGCCCTCTATAAACGTGTATATACATTCATAGTACTTAAAGGGTTAAGCAGTAGGCATTTATGCCTCTCTTTTTCTGATTTCAATCTATTATTCACTGCACCATTTGCTCTGTGGACTAGTACAGTGTTTCCTGCAAGACCAACAACTTAAACATGGAACTGGTGCTACAATTGAATTGACCTTATTCATATGGAGCAAACATGATTAGATGTTATAGCTTAGATGTGCCTACTCCCTATAGTGATGCAACAGCTATATTTCCTTGACAAAATGATAGTTCCAAAGAACTTTAATCTTTTACCAAACCTTTACTCCATAAGAAGCCTATTTTCCAGGTTGTACACCAGCATCTACCATTCTATTCTATATTTTTTTAATTGTACATAATAAGTCTACATTGTTTTCAGTCCTCCCCACACTGCTCTGATGAACTGAGCCACAATGGATCCTTCTATGGAGTCGATATTGGCAATGAAGCACTTGCTTTGGGGATCTTACTATCGCGTCACTTCTTTCGGCCCTTCTCCGTTCAGGATGGAGTTTTCGTCTATATTAAAAATGAAATGAAACAATTTTGGACCATAACAGGTGCAGAAATCATACCTGCAAGAGAAATCGGGCAAATCCAACTGGTGACTTTACCCTGATAGTTTCAGATAAAAGGATCTTTCTTTCACGAAAAGTGTGAAAGTATTCATATATTAAAAGAATGTCTTACTAAAGATAAATGGTGAGGGATTTTAGAGATGAAGTCAAGAGGAAGATCTTGATAGCAAGGCTGCGTTTCATCGTGGTCAAAGAACCCGCGTGGCACCGGCGTTGTTTCTCGACGGGGCGGCCATGTAAGATGGAGCCACGCGGACGCAATGGCATCGTTATACGGCCCCCGCACGAATATATGAAATCTATTCTTCTGGCAGCGTAATTGGAGCTTGCACTCTCCGCCCTGCCCACGATATTATAAGTCCATTCAGTGTGTAATATTTACCTTTCATTTAAACCCACGTTCGCATGCTTCTGCGAAAATAGGGAGCCCTAGGGCAGGAGAGGGGATTTCGAGTCTTTAAATAACACTGTTCGGAAACATGGCCGACAATAGTGAATACTTCACCGTGGGCAGCTCCGTCTGGTGCAAAACATGCTTGGATCAAGAATTTGAGGGAGAAGTTCTGGCCTTCGATCCTCACTCAAAAATGCTCATCTTGAGTATCCTTTATTTCGCTCGACCTCAACACCTAATCGGCGGATGCGCCTCCTGACGTCCCTGTCCGAACCTTGAATCGTGAACCTACAACCCTCACGTTTCTTTACACGCTCTTTCTAATTCATTTGAACATTTCTCTATGAAGCCTAGAAGCTAAGGCTCACCTCAATTTGTACAATAGGTTTGTGCCTACGAATACATAAATATTTGCGTAAAGTCACTTTATCTCACTATCAGGAAATCTTTATTGCGGAGGACTTTGAATATTTGAATGCTCATGCTTACAACTAATGTTTGAAATTACCTTTACGAATTACAGCGCCCATAAGTATTCTAAGTTCTCTTTGCTTCTGAACTACCTAATGGGATCGTGTTTCACTGAAGCACGTAATTATTCATCCATCAAAGTTTAGGTTTGAATGCCTTGTCATCATGGTAAATATCATCATCCACTGATATCCTGAAGATAAGCCAATATTAAATATCACTGATAATGTGTTTACATTTTCACTGGTAGTCTGCTATTATTCCTCAATGTTTTCCTTAGCTGTCACATCAGAATGTCCTGCTACAAACAATCGCCCAAGTTTACAGGACATCAACATTGTAAATCTCTCTCTAGTCAGTGACTTGAAGGTTAAGAAGGAGACCACAGGGGAACCACAGCCTCTTCAGAACCTCAATTGCCAACGAGTAAGTTTTTCATAGTTTGCAGCAATAGGGTGGGCTAATGGTATTGTGATTAGCTGAAGAGTGGAGCTATTTGGAGTGTTCACCAGGAAAAGAATATTAGAAGCAGAATAAGAGGGCTATGAGAGCTTCATTGTACTTGTGAGGATTGTGTCAGTAGTGGTTAGGGTGTGTGCAAAACATACAATGCCAGATAAAGTGATGGGAGCTTGTAGCTTGGAGATTTAAGTAATGGACTGAAAATCTGGAGATTGAAGGTGCAAGTTAGCCCATCTTTTTTTTTGTGTTCTATATTGATAGTAGTAACATCAATTTATTTTACCTCCTTTGAATTGATTTTAAGGTTCAGCTGTATATTCTGTTGTATGAGAGGGCTAAAGAAGAATGTGACTGAGGAATCAATTTTTTTAATGGTAACATTGAAACCAAATTGGAAGTATAGAGGAAGGCAGGGCTGGATTGGGTTTACTGGGATATAAAGCAGAAGTGCAACTGACAGCAAAGTTTAGAGAGAAATTAGAGCATGAATGGCCAGATGGTTACCATCTTATTGACACTTTCCTTGTGTTATTTTTTTTTTCCTTTGACATAATCTGAGAACTAAGACACAGACACAAGTCCCCCATTGTTTGATTTTGCCATGGTTGGCATTTTTCTACTCGGGTATTCCTTGAGTAACCACAACTCTTTTTCCAGATAAACAATCGATTGAAGCAGTCAATAGAAGAGAAGAAGAGGTTGATCACTGCCAAAGCCCAGGGAGTAAGCCCTGAGGGACAGAACCTATTCCTCACCATCACCAAGACGTAAGTAGTAATTCTTTTGTCCTTGCTAATGCTAGCCAAAACTCATGGGATGCTGAGAAACTGAGAAATAAGTTCTCATGACAAAGTCAGCCAGTAGGGGAGGTAGCAATTAGGAACTTGTAGAGTTCAACTGTGAGTTATGGCAGAGCCTACATTGTTTTTCAGCATGTGTCTCTAAATTGAAGTCTACCTAGTTTGAAATAGATTCCTCTCCAGTGCTATCAATGATTCTTGAGTGATGAATTAGTTTTGATAATAGATTTGATAGATTTGATAATGTTTCAGTGAGTTTTCTGTAACCATAGTCATGAATAACATGAAGTATCATTTCCCTTTTTCAAGGGATTTATCCAATACTACTCATAAGTTACTGCCATGATTTTTTTTTTTTTAAGGAAAACTTTTCATGACTGGATGTTCCTCTGCACTCAGAGGAGTCCTTTGCTTTTTTTTGCAGACCTTAACAAGGTAACCTTGCAGAGCTTTTCTTTTCCCTTGTTCTCAGGATAGATGAGGTGACCTGGCAAGGGCAGAATATTGTTGTCATGAATGACGTCACTATTTTGCCTCCTTACAAGCCAGAGAATGTGAGGGGGAATGCAGAAACCAAGAAGTTTATTCACGTCAAGAAGATAGTGAGTTTATCTTTCTTTTCTACATGTGAATGTGTAAGAGAAGCATTGTATATTAATATATCCAGTCCAGCTGAGCACAAGCAATGGATATCATCTCTATCATCAATGGCAGATCACATGAATCCATGCTCTTGACCTGTAGATGTGTCTGGGTATCACCTGGAAAAAATTTTTTTCAGGTATTCAGGCATGGATATGAATGGACACCTTATTGGTACTTGCTATGAGATGTATCCAAGCCATTTTTTCCTGCCCCTTTTCCCCCAAATAATCCAAAATTCATTCTGGGACAATACTCTAACCATTTATAGGGTACTCCTTCACTTACTGGCAATGCATGCCAGAAAGTGAAGGAGAAACATCTATGAAAATTCATGCATTCATTAGTTCAAAGTTAAAAACTCTGCTTACTTCCAAAGGAAAAGATTTTCTGATAGGAAGTGACTCATTGATTGGAATAATGGCATCTAATTTTTGCCATTGCTATTTTTTACTCTTAGGTGGAGAAGTACGTGAAGGACCAAGCTTTGGGAAACTCAAGTAGCAACACAAATAGTTCTCTATAAGTTGTCTGAAAGAAGCTCCAGTGAATTTTTAAGTGAAGTTGCATGATATTTAAACCATTTATCATGGTAATAGCCAGCATGATGGAAATGATGCTGATGATTCTGTCTGGGAAAGAAGTCTCTGCACAGAAACACTGAAGCTGGAAGTTTTTGTCAGGAATAAATATCAACTTTTTCTCTCCATCATCATTACCAGTTGTTTTGGCCAGCCTTTGAGGCTCTTCAAGAGAATTTAAGGGGGGTGCAGTTGTCCTAAGAATAGCTTTGAGCATATATTGTTTTTCACTTGAGTCAAATGAAGCACACTAAAAATAAAAGATTAATGGGCATCACTTAAGTTCCTTTTGTCTGCAGTCAGTGTGACCCCTTCCACTCATCAACCATAGTCCATCATCCCGTCACATTATTGTTCTTTGCATGCATATGTGCCAACATGAAATGCAAATAAATTTACAAAATTTAGTAAGGAAGTCAGCTTATCACAGTGTGGATGGAACAGGTAGTAATCAGTGAAAAGTGCCATCTGGGGAGCCATACATTGAAGAATCTGAATTTAGCATATTGTTCTATGGCAAACTCCATCATTTGCATGTCAAATGATGAAGTTTCCTATATCTCCTTGAGTCCCCTCAGAATGATCAATCATCTTATAGTAATAGTGTGAATAGGACAATAGGTTGAGGCTATGAAATTCACAAAATATATTTTTTTTTCAGTACATGGAAAGACTAAGACCCAAATGCACAAACCTCATTTAGGCAATGTAAAGGGACCTTTAAGTTAGAGAGCTGTTATTTCCAGTATAGGATTCCATGTATTCTCAGGGACTAATTGAGGTTTCAGCAGTCTTGTTCTAATATGATCTAATATGACCAGCAGTGGTTATTAGTCTGATTAAAAAACCTCTGGAAGACAACATCCAACTCTTTAACAACTTTCACTTGCATATTCCATAGATACGGAAGATGTGAAGTGTTCTTGAAGTGCCCCCAAACTGCTCAATCAAAATGGTATGGACATAAAGACATCTCTTACGGAGTATCCAGTAGCATTCGACTAAGGATGTCTTAAAGATATCCCTTTCGGGATATCGATAAGAATTCGAATGAAAACGTCTAAAATAACGTCGTCCCTTTCGAGATATTGAAATCCGTCCGACTGAGGATATCCCATGGAGACCTTGGGGAAAGGTCGTCCAGTTGGGGACATCCCTGGGGTTTCACCGTGCTGTGTGGGGAAGACACCATATTTCAGAAAGCCAGGAATGTAGCAATGAAAAAGTATTTCACCAATACAATTTTTCCAGGACTATCATCTTCCAGAACATGTGGGATCCTCGAGCAACATCCTTAAGGGGTACAGTACCCTCCAGAGCTAGGGCCGAAGCGTTTGTAGATGTCGGAGAATAACTTCCTGCCCATCAAACTCGCTGGCTCTGGGGTCTTGGGTGAGTGCGAGGGGGTGGAGCGTGAGATCAAGGAAGCCAATTCCCTCCCTCCTTCCCATTCCAATCCATGCCCTCCCCGAGCAGGGTCATACCCTTGTGCATTACAACCGATGTTTTTCTTCTTTTCATTGACGATAACAGTGGCGTAGGAAAGGGGGGGTTAGGGGGTTAGAACCCCTTGGTTTCCCAGTCAGTGACACTGACAGGCATATTTCAACCTTCCTTGGGAATTCCAATTTTAGCATTACCCATAGAGGAAAGTCTGATGTCCGTCCACAGACCCAAGATTTCTTTGAAAAGGTAAATTCCGGGTAGTGGAGCTAGGCGTAGGGTTGGGGTGTCTACCTGGCCTCAACCCCCCCTTGCCGATTTCCTGCTTACGCCACTGGACAATGACATAACATGGTGGCCGATTACTACCAATTAGCATCAGTTTCTAATTTTCCTTGCTGAGCCCGAGAGAGCCATTATTTTAACACCTAAACCACTACGATAAAGAGACCTTCCGGCTTCTTTTATTTCTTCAAACCACTAATTCTACGAGTACATTTTTTCTCTCCCCCTTCGCTTGTCTTCGTACGTTGAGAGATGGACCTGATGAGTAAATTGACGAATGGAAAACTCGAAATTTATCCTGCAGATAGACTTGGTTACGGAGTAAGTCAGGGGCAGGGAAGAATTCCACCCTGAAAGAGTTGAATGAAAGGCAGGCCCTGAGGGCGCCCATGCTACCACCGCACTTTCTTCTCACCCTAGCTTGTTGCGCCGTCTCTCTCGCCTGTCTTCCTTTTTTCCCTTGTTGCAGTAAATTAGTCTCCGATTGCAACATCTCTTGCCACTGAATGCCATCCCACCGTAGCACTTCCTTTTCATGCTTATCCTAGATTCATTCCTCCTCGTGATTTACTCCCTTCCAATTTATCGACTAAAATAAAAGACTTCAATGAAGTTCGCAATTATTGACTCGTAAAAAAAAAAAAACTTATTACGCTTTCTCGAAATAGTCATTCGCTATGTTGAAATTCGCCTTTCCACAAAAATGGAAAAAGATAACTTTTCTTATTGTAAGAAAAAATCAGAACTGCATAAATGATAGTAACCCCTCTGAGTGGTTGCCACGCTGCTAAGCTACGCTGGGAATCTAGAACCAGACTTGGTGGGGGCTTCAGCCCCAGCTCCACCCACGCTACGCCACTGCTCGAAACTTCGGGAAAGGCAACGGAAGCCATTTTCTTCATTGCCAAGATTTGCTTTCTATTCGGCCGTAAAGCCGAATAGACATGATAACCCCAGCAAAAGGACATAAGAAATTGAAATTTTGGCGGCTATCATACGGATGCGACTATCCACATCGAGGTCTTCCGCGCAAATCGGTCCATACATCATTACTACCTGGCCCTCTCATGTGTTTTAATTGGGGATGGGGTGGAAGGGAGGCCTTTGAACCAGTCTCAGGGGGACGTCCCTTGGGTTTCTGGAAATTCTGGGAAGCCGGCCAATAAGCTCACTTCACATTGCCCCTTCTTCGCGTGCTTGGGGCAGGTCTTCTATTTATTGGAGGCGCAAGCAAAACATAATAATGGATCTCTATGGAGTAAACTTTCAACACAGCTAGCAATAAAACGTGCCCAGTTGTCTTCGAGATGCATCTGATTTTCTTTTTACTGATCATGTAAACCTCGGAGGAATTAATTTACCTCATAACAAAGCAGATGAATTAGTAGATTTTCGATCAGTTGGATACAATGCAAAATTTCCTGCTCATCCCTTTCTGCGAGGACATAAGTACACGTCCAGCTCTTATTGCGTATGGTATGCTCTTACCGGATTTCTGCAGAACTGTAGAGATGTTTGTTTTTTTCTTAGCAGAACCCTATGCCAAGAAGAAAAGGGCTTATGCCTTACAGTTTACCTCACATATAAATCTCATTATTGATTTATAGCTTGAGCTAGAAGCGAGCCATCTTGCAATGATTCAAAGAAAGGTCTCACAACTGATGCGAGATGGCGGCTGATTCATTGCAGAGGCAATTCACACCCTGATGGAACTGTTAGAAGTCCCCAATGTAAGTGTGATTTAATTTTTTTTTCCCAAGCACAACATATGGGGTAACACTCAAATACTTGAGTCATTTTACTATTATTAGAGTAATCCAGCTCGAGACTCCGGGTAATTCTGGCCTTGGGAATGCATGGTTCAAATAGTGATCTCTATTCATTGGCTTAAAATAGATTCACATTCTTAGGTTTGGTAAATAGCACAAAAAGTTGCTATCGGAAGCCTTGCCCATTCATAGTGAAGTTTTAAGAAGTCACGTGGGAATGGGGCGGAGATTTAGCTACTCATTGTATGGTCTGTTTTCTTTATATGGTCAATGGTAAAGGGGGTGATGCATTTTCCATGCCAAAAATAATACATCTTTCACCTATCTCAATGTAATTGATAAACGGGACAATACTTTTATTTGAGTCCAGCCTGAAGTCTTTTAAAAATACATTTTGCTAGCATTTGAAATATATGAAACCAACATCATATTACAGTGAGATACTAAATTCCATGAACCAGGGTACATTTTAGTGTGCAGTTGAAACAGATATGTGCAGTTCAAAACTGAGCAAGAATTATCTTTCGAAACAAATATAACTCTGAAATTAGTGTAGCAACCTATTTAAAAGTACTACTGCATTCTTGACTTTGAAATGGTGCTAAATCTAATATTTATTCCCAAATAATTGGGGAGTGGGGGGGGGAGCACTTAGCACTGTACCAATGACTCCTACAGAGAGAGGTTATAATCATTTGCGCAAATCTGATTTTTTATTACAATATGCCCTTCATAGTGACTTATAGTCACCCTCATGTTCTCCCATACCCTATGTGTAGAGACAGAAAATCAAAATGACAATTTTTATTTTTCAGGCAAATCCAGGTGAGACAAGAAACCTTTTATTTCCATTTGAGAAGGTAAACTACCATTCAGTTGGAGTTCCTCATCATAACAAATATTAAAAAATAACATAGCAAACTTCATGCCTTGAGAAGAGATAGAACATCCTCTTCATTAGCTACATCTACAGGAGAAAGGTCATCCAGATCACGAAGTGTCCTGTCAGCTCCACTCTTCAACAGAACAATTACCACATCCTTGTGGCCACAAGAGCAAGCATAATGAAGTGGAGTTTGCTTCTCCCCATCTCTGGAATTTGGATCACAACCCCTTTCAATCAGATACTGCACAATATTTGGGAAACCCCTGTCACTGGCCCAGTGAATAGGTGACATTCCTTCTTCATCTGTGACCTGGAATTCCTCATCCTTGTATGCTTTTAAGGCATCCAAGTTCCCATCTTTGACCCAATCGAACACTGTTTTCACACTATCTGGTATATCAATGTCAACAACTGCAGGACGACTGACACTGACTCCCATATTATGAGTGGTAGTGGAGGTATCGCCAGAAGATTCCTGCCATTCTGGAGCTATCATTGATACATGTGCCACATATTCCTCCATTGCTCTCATCCCATCCATTTCTCCAAGTTCTTTCCAGGCTTCCCACTTGATTTTCCCTTGGAAATCGAAGAATCCTGGCTTAGCAATGTTGCAAGGCCCTTCTTGAGCTTGCTTATATCTTGCATAGAGATAAGTGAGATCCTTTGTGTCTAGTTTTAGTGCAACAGCCCTGATATATGCTGCTGCTTTTTCAAATTCCTTCTTCAAATCTTCCATTTCAAATCACCGATTCCTGATTGTATTGATTCTCAAAAATTCAAATGAATGATTCCCAGGGAGGTCTGAGTCAGCAAGACTATTTGCATCTGCACCAAAATCTTTGAGAGGCACTGACTTACATTGCAGCTGCCATTGTCTTAGTGAAGCTCGTATATTCCAATCTGCACTACGGATCTGATAGACAGATAAAAATTCTGCAGCACTGGACTTCTCCAATATAAAAGATACAGTCATGAGAATGTCCTCAAACACCTTTGGATCAAAGAAACAGTCTGAGCCAATGATGAAATCAACTGGTTCAATCTGAAGTAAGGATTGGGTTACCAATCCCCAAAGCAAAGGTATCACTTTTACTCTATCAGATACTTGGTTCTCTTCACAGCTACGAGCACAGTTCTTCAAGATCTTGGGAGTCAGCTCATTATCTGAAAGAGTAACACATGCTCCACATTTGGCTGCTACTATACCTGGGAGTGCAGTTCCTGCTCCAATTTCAAGGACTTTCTTGCCATAAAAATCGTCTCGATTATGCCAGATATATTGTGCAAGTACCACAGCCCCAGGCCAAGTGTACATTCCATAACTGGGATGCAATACCTGAAACAGAAAGTAACATTTTTTAAGTACAATACTGGAATTCAAAGAGGTACAAGTTGCTGTGCATAAGGCCTAGGATACAAGACACCTTCTAAACCCTCTTTTCCTCATGGGCTCCACTTCACATCAAATAAAGGACTTTCTACACAGTAAAGGACTATGAGCTGATAGAGAAAGCAGGTCATGGAAGGAAGTTGAAGGAAGCGATGAAAATGTAATTTCATTTGAACAGGCCAAAACTTACAGAAACAAAAAATTGAATTGAAAGCAACATATTATATTAATGGTACTTGAATTATGTACTTTTGCCAAGCCCCTCCCTCTGCTTCTCTCTTTCATCATCCTTAAATTAATAGGCTTGATAAGCCTGCATCCTGCTCACCTCTGGGATTGTCACATCCAATGAGCCAGATTCATCAGCAAAATGAAATTTCCTGAACACATTTGGGCTATCTAACTTCTCTTCACTCTGAAGAGATTCACCATCATCAGATTCACCTGATTCACTTTTTTCTTCATGAAAAGGTTTTTGTTGAGGGGCAATGCCTTCTTCACCATTTTCTGAAGCATCATATTCTCCTGCTTTAGACTTCTTCAAGTTAACTGACATCTGTCAGGCCAGACCTAAATGTAATAAAGGGGTGAACCCTTGAGTTACATGGAATCTTGTCCTACACAATCAGTGTAATGAGGTAATAGGACTAGGAATAGGCCTACATGCAAAAAAAGGTGGAAAAGTCCATCCTCACACTTCTTGAGGAACAGCCACATATATGTCCACCATGTCAGAACCATCTTTCCTTTTCTTTCATAATGCTCCCTCAACATTTTGGCTTAACTTCAGAATCAATGACTGCTTCCTATGTGGCTGGATACCAACCAAAATATGGGTTTCCATAGTAAGCACAGAAGGCATCTACATATGAGAAAGACTAGCTATGAATGGAGTATATTAGGATTATCAGTGGGAGCAATATATAGTCAGGGTAGGGAGGGGTGTGTGCAAGACATAAAATATCCAAGGTTCCTGCTGTCTACAAACCCATTTGTCTTTCAAAATTGTCTGCATGCATTACATAATTTTTCAGGCTACTTTCTGCAACCTGATTGTAGAAGGGGCATCAAATATTATCCATTAGTAAAAATCAACTTGAAAGCAGAGCAAAGGTGAGAAAGTATTTCCCTATCAACCAAAAGAGAAAATCCTTTCTGCAGAAACTTTCAACTTTTGTCACTAGTGTCTAGCAATCTAAAGCTCACTGCCAAGTATTGTAATATTGAAGCACACAACTAAAGGCCATGAAGGGCTATTTTGATGGATATGTTTGGTTCCTTCCCTGGTCTCTTTTTCCTAGGTCAATCAAACTTACTTTTTAAAATAGGCCTACCCTTTTTTAATATTTATCATCTATCCTGCCTCATATAATCAATAGGCCTGCTAGTATGCAAGAAAGAGTGACAACATAAAACTTAATATTCAATGTACTGGTTATATTAAGCCTTGTTAACAGCAATTCCTGAAGCTCAAGACTTCCTGGTGTCATTTCACCCATGGGCATGGTAATGTGAAGTCCATAAATAATGCACCCATGCGTCACAACGATCCAAACACAATCTCAAATAATGATAATTGTGATTTTGCAGCACTTCTGGTGCAAGGAAATGACACTAAATGATACTACAAAGATAAGAGTTGGGGCATGGAGCAATTTCACGATGAATTCACGTACGCATTTGCGCACTGGTGCTGCTAGTTTTCGACTTCGACCCCAGGCACATCTACTGAATACATGCTCACGTAATATATCATCTCGTTGGGTACGTCGGTTGCAGTAACGTAACTAGGCCCAAAGAAAGCTATGGTCAAGGACCAGTAATAGAAGAGGACTGGACACTCCTCTGGAAATCGCGTATCAGCAGTCATCCACCCTGTGCAGGCAACGAACCTGGTGGTCGCTGAGGAAAACTACATTTGTCTTCCATGACGAAGCATGGCGTACGCTAGGGTTCTGCTATTAATTGTAATAATACCGACGGAAACTCGGGAGGGAAACACTTCTTCAGATTTTCAGGACCCCGAAACAGGTCAGTATTGAATATTAAGTTACAAATGAGCCCATGTTTGCGCCTCGAGGATGTGCTCCTTCACCCTGAAAGACGTCCAAGGGCACTCTAGATCTATCTACATATAATGAAAATATAGCAAATTCCGTGGACATTTCTTTGTTGCTGCAAACAAAATCACTCACGATAATATCCATTATATAAATTGAATCGGTGGATGAAACATTATTTCCCTCTTGATGAAAACGTTCGCTGTACGGCCAGTGGCGGATACAGGGGGGGGGGGGGGGGGACCGCTCCCCCTATGGCCATGTTAGCATTTGATTTATTTATTCAATATAGTATCTGCATTAAATTTTATCGGAGCCATTGAAATAGACACTCAAGTTCTTACCCCAGACGAAAAATAAAAAAGGCGAAAGGACGAGGAATGGTGGTAGGCGGGAGGGGGGGGGGGGGGGGNAAAATAAAAAAGGCGAAAGGACGAGGAATGGTGGTAGGCGGGAGGGGGGGGGGGGGGGAGGAACTTGGGAACCGCCCCCCCTATGAAAAATTTCTGTATCCGCTCCTGTGTACGGCTCGTGAGCGAGACGTGGATAATAAAGTAGCGGGGGTGGGGGTGAAGGGACAATGCAGTGAGACCTGCCCACGCCAAGACTTTCCTGGATGGCGATAAGGGGTTAGACCTCACGTCAGTGAGGTCCAGTTTCTAGTTCAATAACAGTTTCTCGAGTGCTTGGGTCATGTTCACCATCTGGTTTCGGGAAATGTAATCAGGGCTCTACGGCGCAAAGGTTTTGCGCGATTGCATAAGTGCATCCAATTTAGGAATAGTCATTTGTGGCTCGTCCTCGAAGTCTCTCAGGAACGATCAAGCGTTTTGCGATCGATCTGACCGTTTTCGAGATACTCTTATCAACTATTGACTGATACCTGGTGATGTATTTGTTACTACACTCACTGGAAGGAACTCGAAGTGCGTAATTAATTGACATAGAGGTATTTATGACGTTGAAAGGAAGTGCTTCTGCAAGAGAGCCTATTTAAAATTTTCAGGCGAGAAAATGAAGGTAGGGCTTCCTCTTAATATAAACCGAATCAGGCCATTTGAGAGTGAAAAGGAACAGGGTCAGTGCTAAGCAACTAGTGGCGTAGCTGGAGGGGTGGAGGGGGGGGAGAGGGAAGGTTGTAACCTGAAGTGTAAGGTCCGAATGCAGAAACCTCATTCAGGCGAGATAACTGGGCCTTTGAGCTAAAGATATATTTTTTCTCTCATAGGAGTGGGAGGAAAAATATCTCTCTCAAGGACCGTTAACTAAAGAAGGTTTCAGCATTCGGGCCTAATTCTCCAACCCCCGCCCCCCAACTCTGGTTTAAAGGTATCAACTCGAATTTTTTATTACTAAAAGTGAAACTCCGTACCCCCCCCCCCCCCCACCTTTGATGAAAGCCTGGGTGCGCCAGTATAAACAGACAATAGTTGCCCATTAAGGAAACAACGCAGCATAGCAGAGAATACAGGGTGTCCCAAAAGGTATGGAAAATTTTCAAAAATTTATATCTCACTAAGTTATGCCTCAAATAAAATGATGAAAACAGTAAAATGAAGTGCAACTCAAACATTTTTTTAACCTGTTATTGAAATTCCACATTGGCACTATTTGTGGCTCTGTAGACGTCCAAACGATGTTCGAGCTCTTACCACAATTTACTCAGTGGCATGTATAGCAGCATGGATAGCAGCAACAACTCTGTTCTTCAGATCAGATTGGAGATTGCTTACTCAAGAAAAGATGACAATGTCCTTGACATAGCCCCACAAGAAAAAAATCCAAGAGGGAAGGGTTCAGGCACAATAAAAGTGTGATTTTCTAAGATGTTGCAACTCCACATTTTAGCAAGCTAAGGCATGGAAAAAAAAAACAGATCGGTGGATTGGACAAAGCAGGTTCATTCCATGGCCACCAAGATCACCTGAACTAACCCAAGAGGGCTTTTATTTGTGGGCTATGTCAAGGACATCGCTTTCTGGAGAAAAGTAGACAATCGATCAAGATCCAAAGAACAAAATCGTCCGAGCTATCCTGATAGTTATGCCTAACACTCTGCAAAAGATGTGCTAAGAGCTCAAACATCGCGTAGACATCTACAGAATCACAAATTCTATGTGGAATTGCAATAGCAGGTTGAAAAATGCTTGAGTTGCACTTCATTTTACTGTTTTCATCATTTTATTTGAGGCATAACTTAGTGAGATATTAATTTTTTAAATGTTTCAATACATTTTGGGACACCCTGTATATTAATCGAGAGAAGGAATCTGCCTTTATATCGCTCTCTGTAGACTGAAGGTCCCCCGTTTAGCAGCTTTTCGACAGACGCAAGTCCCTGAGCGATATGGAAACTCCAATCGCTGCAGTTTCTTCCTTCTGGTCCAAATGGAACACGGAGAATATAGTGTTCCTCATTGGGGTTCTTACGCTCGACCTAGGCTCGACGCTAGGCACTAGTGGGAAAAAGCTTCGCATCTCTCTCAAAATCATTCGTGCGCAGTGCGTAAACTTTCGTACCTTCCCTACGATGAGACCGCAGGAGGGAGTACGAAACAATACGCAATGCGTACCAATTTGAAAGACCTACGAACTCTTTTGCCGCTAATGCGCAGCAATTTGCAACCGGTAGGAAAGTCAACGAGAAATGTGGGGATTCTTTTTCTCCGAGGTTCATAGTCCATCTTAATGTAGGATCACGACCTGGATACATTAAAAATGAGGGAACGCCCGGAACCAGTGGCGTTAAGCCACGTAAAGATACAAACTGAATCTTAAAATGAAGTTAACAGCGTTGGCCGATAGCTTCAATGCATCGCTCTTGCACGAGCGAAGGAAAATCCTCAAAATCGGGGTGTAAATGACTTCGAGCACTCCGCGCAGGGTGGATAGGTTCCACAAATTCCAATGTCTCCACTAGATTCGATACTGTTATCAATCTTTAATTATTAAAAAAAAATTGTTGGAAGTGCTGGGTTTAACTGCTGAGTTCGAAACAGCATGCGTTCGTTTTCTTTTTCCTTTTTGGCTGACTATTACTGTCATGGAAGATACGTGGTATATGGATCAGAAGAAGTATAATACCTGCTGAAAGATTCTGTACCCACCCTCAAGGGAAGACATCAATATTCCGTACAACTAATGAACTATCCCGGTCGACCGTTCTGTGCCCTCCAGGAATTGTTGCACAAACACTGAAGCTACTGTTCCAGCTTCTCAACCTTCTGCAAGTTCACACACTTCTGAGAGGGAAATCAGTCTTGGAATCTATCAGCCAAGTGCAGTGCTCACCCTCTGTCAGAAGTTTCTAAGCAGAAAGTGAGGCCGATGTTCTTGAAGAGAATACTGTGGAGTCCTCCTCGTGCCCATGGATGAGCAGAGGGGAAGAATCCCCGAGCTACTACGCCGAGTAGTAATAGCGGACCTCCTCTCGCCCCTTCACGCCCTCACCTCTGCCCTACGCAGCAGTCCGTCTTGAACCTCCGGCCGGACAGCACGCGGGAGTCCGCTTTGAACCT